TCCATTCTTCAATATTAGGTTGATTGAGAATTAAGTTTCATAATTTATTTTAATTTTTTATCTATAGAGTTATCATAGTCTCATAACTTGAGTCATAAATTTGACAAGTTAACCCATATTGAATCAAATCAATTTAATATGTTGTTATTTAAATATTAAGAAAAGATATCATCTTAAAATTTTGTTTTATCAGATATTGTTTTACGAGTTGTATGTGTTATTTTTTTATCTGTAAAGTTAATCGAGTTATATCAAGTAAATATCTATAAAGTTAATCAAGTTATATCAAGTAAATTCTCACATAATTTTATTTTTTTATTAGAAAAAAATTAATAATATTTAAATAATCTTTTTACATTCAAGAAAAATTTGATTTTACCGGTAAAGTAATACAGGTCAATCATCTAGTAAGCATGAAATGTAGATAGATAAAGAACTAAACTAATAAAATATGTACCGAGAGATAGAATCAAGAACCTATTTATAGTTGACGGGTGAATTTAAGATCTTCCCTAATAAGTGATAATGATGGCAATTATATTATTACAAGCAAAACGAATGATGAGGCCAAAAATGAACATATACTCTGGAAGTAGAAGAGTTAGACTAGTTAACGGTAACATATGTGCCTTGAAGTATGAAATTAAGGTAAAAGCGTAGGTTGAGATTATTTTTAAAATTAATTTTTATTTAATTCTACTAAAATTTAAATTAAAAATTAAAAAGGGTTGGAAGGATTAAAATTTTAGAAAAAAATATTTATTGAATCAAAATTTTAATTTCTTATTTATACATTCTTTCTTGTTTTGACAAATCATGTATTTATTATTAACAAAATGATTTTTTAGATCTTAAACACCTAAGTTTCTAACTTGTTGTAAAAAATATATTGGAAACCATAAAAAGCTAATCATCATCCTCAAAATAGTTTTAAATTGGTATAAAAATCATAAATTATAAGTTCTTGAAGACTGTAACTCCATATAAACTCTCAAACTCACAGACAATTTCCTGTAGTAATCAAGAACATAGATTCCTTTAGGGAATTGAAATGTTACAAAGCCAAAATTCACGAGTAAATTTTCTATCACTTTTTCTCCAGATGTGAGAGCTGAGCAGCAAAGAAGCAACTTGATATGGGATATAATTGTAGTTGTTTTTTAAATAATTTTTCATGTTAAAATATATATGAATAATTTTTTATTTTTAAAAAATTATTTTTAATATCAGTACATCAAAATAATTTGAAAATATTAAAAAAAATATTAATTTGAAAAAAATAAAAAAATTAAATTTTTTTAAAATACTTTTAAAATACAAAACAAATTATTTATCGATATTTTAATGGAGAATGCTAGCCGAGCTCGAGCACTTTCTTCTCCTAAATTGCTACACCCTCCTCCCAACAAGTTCAACTGTTGCTTAAAAAGTGATTGTATTATCGTTCTCTGTTCCTCGTTCTAGCATTTGCTCGGGATTATTCGTATTAGACTTCCATGGACCTTTAGCAACATCAGGATATCGAATTTTATCTCTTCAAAGTAGGTTGGGTTATCGCAATTTATAACAGTATACCACCTGAGGAGAAACCTCCTAGTATATTTCAAGTGTTCCCTCTTTCTTTTCCCTATTCTATCTATTTATATGTTGTAAATAAAATACAATGAACAGAAATAAAATATAATATAAGGCATGTATAAATATTGTTTTTAAAGATATTTCATCGGTATCAGATTATTTTCTAGAATCCAATAAATTTTTTGGTTAAAAAAATAATCAGCAAGATAGAAATGAAATATCAACCAGCTTTATAAACATAGAAAAATAATAGGATGTTTTTTTTCATGTTTTTTTTTTTCTGTAAAAGTCAATGATATTTATAGGCTACTACCATATAACAACTAAGTATAAAACAAATTAAAAATTAAAAAGTTATTATAACAGTTAAAAAATAAAGGAAATGTTAGGAAATTAAAATGTTGTAGCTGTTAAAAAAAATTTAAAAGAAAAAAATTGTTATAATTTTGTTACTGTTGGAAAATTAATTCCAAGAAGTGACATGACACATTATCATATCTCCAGTACTTTTAATTAAAAAGATTATCTTGGTACAAAGCACCATAATATTTGAATTCAAATGCTTTGGGTCTGACACCAATTCCAGACCCATGTTTATCTTGGGTTAGATTGATCATCAAACCCAAGTATTTTAGATATTGTATGTTAGTCAAACCTATATTTTTTTGAGTCTGACATGATTGTCAATCCCTAAGATTTTGTGTCTATCAAAGTCATCATACTCGTATCAAATTTTACTATATAAATACTAAAAAAAAAATCTTTTGAAATGCTCTTCATTATTTTCAACATTATACAATAGGCACATGATGTACAAAGTCTTTGTTTGATCCTATATCATCACACTATTATCCAAAAAATATAATACATGACTTTATATTTATATTAAAAATTTGATAACTTTATTAATGATAGCATATTAATGATAACTTTATTAATGATGACATATCTCTTTGTCCCTTGAAAATATTACATGTATTGTTTTAAGATAGTTTTAGAAATTAATGCAATAATTTTTCTGGGTTTAAAATTATAATCATCATATAAATTATATTATAATCGTTAATTTCTTAAACTTATTTATAATTAAGTTTCACTTAATTAATCATTTGAGCTTAATTTCTTAATAATGGTTTTTAATGTGCATAATTCATTAGATTCCAAATATATTGATCCAAATATAAATCATAATACTAATCAAAATCAGATTAAATAAATTTTTAAAAATAACTTATTATCAAATTCAACATATTAATTGATTTATATTTGAAAATTAAATGTACAACCCAACATCGTGTCATGATCTCTTATATATTATAAAAATCATGTGGTTTGATTTATAGTTTATGAGTTATAAGTGTAATTATTATTTGTTATGAGTATAATTATTATTTCTTTATCAATAATATTTTGATTTAGATATTTGAACATGAAGAGTATTTGCTTTGTCAAATTGTATTTGTTCTTAAAACCATAATCATTGATTTTTTTAATTAAGACTTTAAAACACTTTTTTAAATCCCATTCCATATTCCAGAAGAATTTCATAATTAATACCTTTTGAGACCATGTAAAATATTTTTTTTAATTCATATAGAATGATAAATCATTTCTTTATTACTCAAACACCTTTATATAATTCATGTTACACCTAATATTTATTCACTTGCTACTTTTTATTAAGGCAATATTAGTTAAGATCAAAACATAACATTTTTTTTATAATATAACCTAATAATCTCATGTCTAATAATTATTTACACAATCCAAGAATCATTTACATAACTGTCACACAAGTTTTTCAATAGATACAAGTGATCTTATCATGTAGAATCTTCAAACATATCAATTTAGTATATATGTCATCTAACAAACAATTTTATATTAGTTCCAAATCATACCTCAATTTATGAGAACATCTATTTCATTTCATAAAAAAAAAACATGATATATATTGGTCTCAACAAGTCTAATTAATACCTAGTCTTAATAAAATATTGACCATAAATATTTAAAAACAATTCTTTAATACAATAGAAATTTTCATAGTTATAACCACTTTATAATTTTCTTTACAAAATATTTTTTAATTTTTTTTTATTTATACAGACTCATTAATCAAAATTCAATAAATATTAAAAATAAAGAATATTTTTTATTAATAATAATATGTCCTTACATTAAAAAAAAATCCCCATATAACAAACTGATTGATTATAAAGTTTATAAACTAACAAATTAAGCCCACTTGTTTGGCTCAACAAAACAATGGCTTAATGCATTAAGCCTACAAGGTCATACTCGTGTAAATAGACAATACATAGTCAACCCTTTTTATTGAAAAAAATAAATAGGTGATGCATTGTCTATTTATTTAGATTCTGACCATGGCTGGAAAATAAAAAAAACTCCTCATTTTCACCTAATAAACACCCAATTACAAAAAATAGAATTAATGATTCATATCCAACGTACCCTTTTCTTCCCTTTGATGGTGGTTGATGTATCAAATACCCTGCCTAAATTATTTCTCATTAAAAAAATTCGCATGGAAAATGCTAGCCGCGGGCATTTTCATCTCCTGAATCGCTACCCCTTCCAACAAGTTCAACTGTAGCTTAAAAGGTGTTTGTATTTTCGTTTTCTCTTCCTCATCCTTGCATTTGTTCAGAATTCTTCAAATTAGACTTCTATAGACCTTTAGCAACTTGAGAATCCAGACCTTACCTCTCGGGCCATTACGAGATTTAATGTTTCAGATATGGAATCATCCTCCTCCGGGTATTCGTGTTTTGCTTGATGCTGTTAAGATAAGGAGTTTCTTTTTGGCGTAGCTGCTTTTGTGCTTTCTTTCTTTTGTACCCAAAAAAATAAGAAATACAAAATTTCTGCTCAACAGACTTAAACAGATCCATGACATTATTTGCAGAAAAATCCTGCTGCTTTTGATCATTCTTTGCCTTTGATGTGATGATTGAGATATTTGTTCAAAACTGATACCAATGTTCCATGAGTCTTCCTTATGGCAAATAGCAGCATGCATGCACTTATTTTCCCACAAAATGCTGAAATGATGACCATTCTGGATGATGTTAAAGTTCGAATTCAAAAGCTCCATCTGGCAAGAAAAAGGTAGCTCAGCTTGTAACACAGATCTTAGACCAAGCCTAGCTCCGGCAGACCAGAAGCCGGATGAATCCGCAAGTGATGGGAAAGAGCGGTTAAGGAACAGCTAAGTGCAGGCTTGGTAATACGAACGAGCCTAGAAATTATGTGTTCAAGCTTGGGAGAGGAAAAGGGAAATTATGGCAGCCGAGCTTGCAAGAAAGGTTTATGAATTGAATGAAACAGAGGAGCTTGTCTATGACCTCGAATCCCAAAATGAGACATTGACGGCTAAACTTCAAGCTTGTTTCGCAGAGAAGCACAAGGGAATTAAGCGCTTCAAGAGAGTAATAGGGCACTTTCGGAGCAAGTCCTCTGCTCCCCTGATAGTTGTCGCTCTTTAAAAAGAAAAAACAAAGTTGCAAACGAGGAACTTGCGCTACCATGGATGTAATTGGGAAGTGCTTGATAGTGTAAGCTATACGAACCGACTGGCAACAGGCAAAGATATTGAAGATGAGATTTCAACGAGCGTTTCAATATAAGAATATTGGATGTGCTAAACTAGAAGCTGAGATCAATACTAGAAAGCCTCCCGCTGCATAATATTAAGTTTTTTTTCCCCATGGAAGACAATACTCTTGAGCATCTTCAATTATTTATAGAGGAAAGCTGTTGTATCGTGTAGAAGTAGACATGAGTAGTGATGTTGCACACTGTTCATGTGCAATTGCCTAGTTCAGTTTTCCGGTGTACTCTCTAAAATTTTGTTCTCTTTTCTAAATTCATAGTCGCAGGATCTAAGCTCTTAAGGTTTCTGATGCTTCTTGTTTGTGATGGATTCTGCAGACCCGTGTTCTCTAGATTTTTTTTATCTTTCACAATCAGGATATACAAATGTTCAATTATTAATGATCCCAGTGCTTTCATTGAGAGCAGTCGGCAGCTAAACGAGGTTATATTGTGCTAGCTTGTATCGTATGACAGCTATAACCAAGGGATGACCAGAGGTAGGATATGTAGTTCTGAAACAAAAGATCTCCAGGATTTGATTATTGAACATGGCAAGGAAACTATTCTTAGAGAACAGCTATAAGCGTATCACCATAGAAAGAACTATATAGAATTAGTTAGGAAGGGAGAGCAAGAGTGCTTGAGTAAAACCTGCTCGTGAATTGATGTATGAAAGAGGCAATGCTCATAACTAAGTCTTGATGAAACATGTACAGAGCTCCCAATTTTGAAATACAAATCCAGCATTATTGAGCCAAACTTTGCAATTTGCAGGCTGCTATAGAGTTCAAAACCCATTTATTGCTTACCGCCTTTGCTCCGGTTGAACTAGCTAGAGCTTCTGCATCAGACTGCCTTCGGTTTAATATCATATTCTTCTTGCTAGGATCCCATTTATCAGGCATCTCGAGGCTGTATATTATGAAAGTTGGAGGTTCAGAGTCCAGTACAAAGGTTCCCTGGGCTCCCGAAATGGGTTTTCTGTGCAGAATTGTTCCTCCACCAGCAACTAAAAGATCTTGTATATATCCCTTGTAAGAAGGAATAAAATCTCCCATGAAATAGAACTTAAATCCCTCAAAAATGTTTGGTTGCTGCACATAATAGAACTTGTCAATAAAAACAACTGGATGTATTAAGAATATGTATCCAAAGTGAACCTAAAGAGAACTGCATGCGGGCATGCACACATTGTTTTTAGAACTATGCTTAACAGGTGATTTCGCTTGCATGCAAAGAACTAGGGCCAATTTTTTTCTTCATAAACCAAATTACGGTCACAGATAAAAGCACAAAGCCTAATACAGGAGGATAAAAAGTCTACTAGCTCTGAGAAAAGATGCAGATTAAAAACCCAATGCGAGCAGATTTCAGAATCAGAGTTCATGAGTTCTGTGATCGCAGAAGAATCTTGACAAAGTTATAAAGTAAGATGAAAATAATGCAAAAGTTTATGGAGCAAGCAGATTAGAGATGAACTAAACTACAGGTCTGATGCCAGCATTGAAAGGGAATGATCTGCCTTCCAATTATAGATGAATCCATGGAAACAAAAAAAAAAATTTACGATTCCCAAAATGTTTAAGATGACAACTTATGGGACGATTCCCAAAATGTTTAAGATGACAACTGTAGAAGCAGGAGCAAACCTTGTTCAGGACTCTTAGTCTTCCATTTCGTGGACCATCCCTGATTCCGTGAACATCAGCAGTAATTTCATATCGCATCTCTTCAACAAATTTCATGGCTTTGATACAAGCCTTGACCCCTACAGAAGGAACAAACAAAGGGTTGAGTACAGGCAGAACCGCTAGATTCACATACATAGTCAATCACCAATGCTCAGTATCCACCTCCTCTCGAATATACTGATAAAAATAATAGGGTTCTGCATGTTTCATTTACATAAGTTCAATCAATGCCACAGGTGGCACCTAATCCTAACTTTTAAATGCAAATACACATGCAGAATCATTACACGTACATGCACCCATGATTCTTTAATGCACACACAAATTAGGTACTTGAACATTGAGATATCACAGCATTCTATAACTTGAGCGGATAATTCATTTCATGGAAACAATTATACTAACATTCAATGTTCACTATCCACTTCCCCTTCAAGATACCCATCAAAACTTTAAGGGTTCTTCTGCATGTTCCATTTTCATCTGTTGATGCAATGACATGAGTGACACTTGAATCCCAATTCTTCAAGACTGTAACTCCAGATAAACTCTCAAACTCAGAAACAATTTCCTGCAGTAATCAACATTTTCATTTAGGAAAGAGAAATGTTACAAAGCCGAAAGTCACTTGTAGATTTTCTATTACCTTTTCTCCAACTGTGAGAGCCGAACAGCAAAGAACCAACTTGTCATCCGTTAAACATGATTTCCGACTTTTATGCATATTGATGTCATGTTTGAAAGTAACTTGATTGTATTGCCTTGGTGTTTGTCTGGTAGAGGAAGGAGAATGAGTAAAAGGCATTTAGTATGATTTCCAAGTAGCAGCTAGAGTCAGCTACTAAGAGATAAATTTGTCCACGGAATTTAGAATACCCTTTTGAAATGCAGTTTTTTCTCCTCTCTTGAGATTGTTTGCTTTCATTAGGCAACTTACAAGAAGCATGAAGAGGGCATAACATGACAAAATTTTCCTGTTGCAAGAGATTTGAGAAACAATCAAAATGATGTTTGAACTACAAAGCATTGAATTCATGACACTTACAGTATCCCATCGACATTGGTGGGTCCACTTTGCGCAAGGAACATGGAAACTCTTGCGACAACTCTTCTCGTAACATCCAAGAGCAGCACCTTTGAGTCCACAGCAGCAACACTTAATTCTCCGACTTCTAGCTAATTCAGCTTCAAGGTTAATTGCATTATCACCCTCGAAGTAGACATTAGGTGCCCTGCAGGAATGATTTTTTATAATTATACGATGTCTACCACAACAACAACATGACGACGTGTAAGCTAAGAACTTTCCTGAGAAAGTAACCATTTTTTTGGCACTCCTATACAGGCCGATGACTTAAATTAATTAAAAAAACTAAAAACACTATGAATTGCCTTTATGAGCTCCTTTGAAGAATTCTCTTACCACTCAGCACAGTTTTTATGAGAGTGTATGACCCTGGATCCACCATTATAATCTGCCCCCACAGGTATGCCATTGTTGTAGTGGATCATCTCTCCTGAAGCCTGTAATTTTGGTGGAAGATTCAGAAATGAAATGGATTTAAAAGTCATGAGATACAGGAAAAAAGCAAAGTAGGACTCGCAAAAACAAGGAAAACAAACAGATACCTCTGAGACTTCTGAAGAAAGACAGAAAGCACATTGAATAATATAATTAAGTTTGCAGTTAAGCATGGCCGCTCCATTTTCTTGGCAATGATCCTTTAATGTTGCCAAATCATCAAGAATTCCAGTATTAAGACTGGCTTGAACCTTCTCAGCAGATTCAGTTGCCCTTGCGGTGTTGCCGGTAATATTTTCAGTGGACTGAGCTTCCTCTGCAAAGACATTGTCAGCACCTTCTTGATGGTCATTGACTAATCCATCTTCTATGATACCATCTAATGAAACTTCCATGTTTTTCTTACATTTTAATTCTTGATTATGTTCTGGACACAATGCAGACCTGACTTCTTCCCCTTGTTTGCCAGGTTTCCCCTTGACTTCTGAGGGCTTTTTATCTTCAAGCACAGGGACGGGTAAAAAGTAATCATGGGCGTGTTCATCTTTGTCCATTTGGTTGTGTATTGAATAGACTCCTTTAATCATGTTTATCTCAACAGAATCCAGCTTTCGTTCCTTGCACCGGAGACTGATCTTTCTACTCTCTTTTCCATTCTTCTTCCTTTTAAGATTACTGCGACCTTGTTTCTTATCAAATGAAATAGACAGCTGACCAGTAACCTTGTTTTCATCAGCCTGGTCCAAATTTTCTCTAACTGAAACAGAAGAAACATTCTCTCCTTTCAACCTACCATCCTTATCTGCATTCTTCCGAGCACAATTCCTTAATGTTGTGTTCTTAGCATTCCTGCCTCTCTTCTTGGAAGTATTACGCCCGATTTGGTAATTTGCACTTTTAACTATTGGAGAGGATAGATTGGCCAGTATGTCTTCAGAAATACCCACTCGCGGTTTGGTATCGGTGCAGTTTTTGCTTTCAGCACTACGTTCTTCATTTGTATTTGCATCCACTTTGTGTGTTTTTTCAGCCTAAATTTCACTTAAAATTTCAGCGAAAGCCAGATGACACTAGCACTATAAAATACTAAAATTAGACAAAATTACTTGGGTGGGATGAATACCTGCATCTTTGCTGGGCTTGAAAAAATCTCAGGAGAGCAAGCTCGTTGCGTCCATTCAAACATCTCACTGTCAAAAAAATCTGCAACATGTGATTCGTTGCCACACGCTGCCCCCTACATCATGTTAGAAAAACACGAGTAAGAAAATTGATGTGGTCGGACTAAATGTTAGGGTAATTTAAGGAACTCTATACAAGATATATATTTTGCTTGGGTTAACTAGCTTTGTTTGAGGAGAGCATAAGCTGTGGATACAACGAATATTAGAGTTTTGTTTTCAATAGATTGACATAAACTTTACAACTTGATGATTTTTATTTTTGTTTTCATTTTTCAATGTCCACTCTTTATCTTTATGCATATTCTGAAAGGAACTGAAATATCCATCGAATGAAAATCTGTTCAAGAAAGCTCAATGAAAAAGTGTTGATTGAATTCAAGAAGAAGAGAAGAACCAGTTAAGCCAAATCAATTGCAGGAGCTATGAACCAAAAATATGAGTAATTGACAGCTCACAGGACACAAGTATAGCAGAGAGGTAGCAAGTCACAGCAGATATTACGATAAATTTGAATCGGACAATGAACTGAACTGGGACTCACTTTCGAGGATGATTCAGGGGGGTTTTCGTCATCTGAGTCTTTGATATCACTGAAAGTAGGAACATTTGGTGGTGTGATATCCAGAAGCTGATCCAGGTCAGTATGCTGACTTGACTTCTCTCCATCTTCATCTCTCAACCAGAAGAAAGGCGATAGCATGCGCTCTCCCTTTCCATCGACAACAGGGTTCTTCCTTGAGACTGATGAATCATTTTTGAAGTCATATTTTTTTATTTCTCTTGATCCAGTTTGTAGCTTCTCAGGTTGTGCCGATGTGCCTGAAAGAGAGCATTGTGGCACCTGAACTCTTTTCTTGGTTGGAAACGAAGGTTTCGATTTAATGGGACCACATAATTCCATGTTGGATTCATCAAGTTTCCTTGAATCTTTTTGTCTGGATATATCAAGTTGCTCCTCCAGCATATCCTGACAAATCCAACCAATATCTTCTCTGCCACGGTCCGTATCGTCTCCTACTTGCTTTTGTACATCTGTAACAAGAACAGCAAGAAATCATAAAGACAAATACCCAATATTACCCTCACAACAAAAAAAAGAAGAAGCAAATACATAGATTGCTAGAACTTCATCTAAGGGAGCGCAAACAGAATATTCATCGCAAGTGCTCCATGATTAATACAAGAGACTCATGTTTGAAGTTCAACAAGGATACAAAGTAAGTGCATAAACCAATCATTTCCCTTGATTTTTTTTTTTTTGCATCACCTGATAATTTAGTTGATGGTGGTTGATTCTGAGTGACGAATATATTGAATCCTGAAGCAATTTCCATGCTTTTGTAAATGCTGACCAAGTTATCCATATGAGGAGCAGCGCGAACCTCTGAAGCGAAAAAAATAAAATAAATACAGAAAACACCCTCCTCTTTACTCCAATATTTTAAATAGGAAAAAATGATAATGATTCAAATTGAAAATAAAAGGCAAGAGGCATCATACCTCTGCGCCGGTATGGCACTTTACAGACTGGACAATCGGAACCTGATTTCATCGATTTCACAATACATGAACTGAAAGGGAACACGAATAAATTAGGGTAGAGTAGAGCGATTGAAATTCAAAACCAACAAAAAATTAGTAAAATGGAATTTACTTGCAGAAAACATGATTGCATGTAAGCGAGACTGCAGTGTCAAAAAGACTTAAGCTGCAACAACAAAAAAATATTAGTTCGAAAAAAAAAATGTAAAAACAAATTGATTAATTTGTGAGTTGGTGTACCAGATGGGGCACTTGAGCTCCCTGCCCATTTTCTCGAGGTGAGTTGGATCTCCCATTTTGTAACTCGCTCGCCTTTCTCTCTGGATTGAAGTTTGATAGTGAGAAGAAGACTCACTGACGGCGCTCCTTATCATTCTTCTTCTTCTGAAAATTCCCTGCACCCCGCCAATACGCTTTAAGCTCACGCGCCTTTTTTTTTACTTTTTTTTGCCGCCGATTTTGTTTTTAAAATTTTCAAACGCGACAATTCTAGACGACTGCCAGCATGAATTGAAAATCAATAAAGTATTATTTTACGTGGCAATACTATTATGAATATAACAATATAATTAAGTGACAAAAAATGGGTTATTTTATATATTTTTTATAATTTGCATCCATAGAAAATATAATTAACTGATAATTTATTAATAAATTTCTTTGTAACTTTTCATGCAAATACAATGATTTTTCATAAATTAATTTCAAGTAATCTTGAATTAATTCAATACCATTATTTTCTCAAATTAATTGCTTCTAAAATTAATTAAGCATCTCTAGCTTCAATGGAGGGACCGGGGACTTCTTTCTTAGTACTAGGAACATAAAATAAAAGAGAAAAAAGAAAAAAAATTGTGTTCTTTTAATCCTAAGGAATACTACAAGTCATGCGAAGCCATATTGTAGGCATATTGTATTGTTTAATAGAGCACCTACTATGTACAAATTTGGTATATTTGCATTTCAATATCTATTTGCATGCATCTACTAGTTTGCAAGGGGTTTAATGCAGATTTTGATGGGGATTAAATGGCTATTCATGAATCTTTATCATTGGAGACTAAGTGGAGACTTGTTTACTTACGTGTTTCTAATATGAATCTCCTATATCTAATATTGAAGATCTCATTTTCATACCAACTTAAAATATACTTATGGAGCTTTATGTGTTAACAAGTATGAATCATTAAGATATTTGCATCATATGTATAGTTTTATAGTTTTCAGACCTAATCCAATAACCAACCAAGTCCAAAATCCAGATTTTGAGTTTTGATTAAGTTATTGAGTCGCCTGGGTTAATTTTTTTCCATCAAAACAATGTTTTTTTAGTAAAAAACAAAAATTAACAAATTACATTTGAGTTTTTAATTGGATTTTATCGAGTCATACCAGGTTTTTTTTCTCTTATTTTTTCTTCAACCTAGTCTAGTTGCAGTCCCGGGTAGACTGGGTCCTGGGTCGACCCACCAGGCAAGGTCAAGTTTCAAAACTATATAAACACTAAGTCGCCTGAATTAATTTTTTTCTATCAAAACGATGTTTTTTAGTAAAAAATAAAAATCAATAAATTACATTTGAGTTTTTAATTGGATTTTATCAGGTTATACTGGGTTTTTTCTTCTCCTATTTTTTTTTCAACCTAGTCTAGTTGTAGTCCCGAGTAGACTAGGTCCTGGGTCGACCCACTAGGCAAGGTCAAGTTTCAAAACTATATAAAATTCATTTAATTGCATAAAATTTCAAAATGAAAAAATCAATGATAATGCTAATAAGGATAAGTTTCTTTACTTAAGCTCGTCTTCCTCTAACTTTACATAAAGAATTTAAGTAATTTTTTTAGTAAACCATGGTCAGAGACTTGAACTGTGTAATGATTTTTAAACTTTACAAGTTGAAAACAAAATATATTTTATCCAACCACTTTAAATTTGATAAAATTTTTAACTGAATTTGCACCTAAGTTATTAGTTAAAGAATTCATTGTCATAGTAGTTGTTAATGCATTAATACATTGATTTTATGTGCAAAAGTTACATCATGAATGGATTAGATAATATGCTCTATGATATATATAATTTTTCAATAGTGAAAAAGCATTATAAAAAGCTTTGAATCAGAAGTATAAAGTTGAAAAAATAGTATGAAAAAGCTCATAATCGATAAATTTCATTATTTCAAGATGCTTAATTTCAAAATTATAATAGGTAAGTTTAAGAATTTCAACCTATTTTGCATAATATTTATATTGAAATGATGTTCTGAATAAATATTTTCAAGTGACTATTATTATTAAAAGATTTCTACTACATTGAAAATACTTTAAAAATCACCTTAAGCACAAACTAAGCACAAACAGAGGAAAATAAGGGTTAAAAATCTTATTACGAGCTTAAGGTGGGAAAGGATGATAACTTGTCCATAAGAAAATTCAACTTTTCCTTAATGGCCTTTGGGTCAAATGTGATTGAACAACTTTATTCAATAATGTTTGCTAAAAAATTTAATGTCAAATGTTTTATATGCAACAAAATAAAAACCAAGCCAAATATTAAAAAAAAAACTCAACAAGACAATTATAAGAAAAGAGAACTGCTCAAGCTCATGTCACTAAGATTAAAAACCTTTAAAATAAAGTATAAAAAATAAGCTTATTTATTTGTGGTTGTCTTGAACATCAACTTGATCAACAACCATGAGCGGTGGTGAATTGGTAGTAATGACACAAAATATATTTATGCATAAGAAGATAGTGATTCTCACTCATAAATAAATAGATGGTGAATATTTTTATATAAAAACTAGTCAACCTAGAAAGTATTAACGACCAAAAAGGTTATTCTAAAGATGATTTCATGAAAGCTTTTACCTTAACAATGTGTTTCAAATTGTTGACATTAGAAAGAACTTAGTATTGGACTTATCATTGAGAAAAAAATAGGTTTAAAATCGTTCTTTAGAGTAATAAATTTTCTCAAAAATAGCATATGTTTGTTATAAAGAGAAAACCTCCAAAATAAATATAATGAACATCGTAGCCTAATATAAAAACAATAATCATAAAAATGCTTATTCTTCTTACTTTCTTGAGTTTATGATACATGACATGATAATTTGGAACATGTGAATTATAATTCTATGCAAAGATTAATGAATCTTGGATTTTTATCATCAATTATTTTTTTCTAAAAAAATCACAAGTGTGAAGTTTGTGTAGAATCAAAATTCACAAAAAAATATTTTTATCAAACAATTAAAAGAAGTAGCAAACCTTTTTATTTAATTCACTTTGATATCAATGATTTTCAAACTTGCACAAACTAGAGATAGAAAATGTATTATATTACTTTTATAGATGATTACATGAGGTATTGTTATACGTGGTTGCTAAAATATAAAGATACAACTCTTGAAATGTTTTAACATTACATTAATGAAGTTAGAAATAAACTTAATAAAACAAATATAAGTAATAAAAAGTGCTAAAATGGAGAACGCGGGGCATCTTTTGGTGAATTGTTTTCTCAAATAGCATTATCCATTGAAATATTGCGTTAAGAGTTTCAAAGGGTTTAATTATTTAAAATACTCATGAAATCAAGTGTTGTTTAAGATTAAAATAAATACAACAGTGAAAACTAAATAAAATTATAGGAAAAGAACTATTTGAATATTATTATCTTGGTGTATAAAAGATTGAAAAACATCACATTAACTATTTTACTAAGTAAATTCAATTGTATTTCACTAGAAAATATTTAAAGTTACCTATCCTAATATAGTGATCTTCCAATTAATTTTATCTTAGTAATTCCTTGTGTCTTTATATATTCGTCAGTTAATTTTTATTTATATTAAGAAATGTTGAAAAAATATTTTTGACCTAGTACTTATACATAGACCATTCAAAACTATAAAGGGTGAATGTGAAATTAATTGATCAATTTCTTTGTATCTTATTAAAAATTAATTATAATTAATCTTAAACCAACTCTACATTTCTAGCCTCTTGTATAAATGATAATAGAGGAAAGTCTTTCTTAACAATAATAAAAGAGATTTAAAATAAAAATATATATAAAATTTATGCTCTTTTTGCCTACGTGCTTTCATTCAACTTGTTTTAGGTTTGGTTGTTATAGAGAAAGAAAAGATAAGTAAGTCTTATAGTTCATACAAGACTATTATTTCAAGGTACTATTGTTGAAATTCTTGGAGACAAGACGCACCGAAACCATTTGCATTTGTTAACCATAAATCTAGCCTCAATGATAAATGTTACATTCATGGACAACAACTTTCATTTCTATTTTGCCTTTGTTCTAAAATCATACAAGTAAATATTCTATAGATATATATACTTATTTTTTGTTTATGTTTTCTTTTATCATCTTGTAATTATCCAATTGTTTTTCGCTAAATAATTTTCTCATTATTTCACTATCTCAATATTGTTTTATCTTATCGTTTTTAATCTTCGGACAACATCCAAATATATCTCTAATATTGTTCTAAAATCTACAAAACCACTTTAGAAAAGTTATTTATTATTTATTCTATAGATTTTTCACATTAAAAATTTATTAATATATTACTTATTGCAAAAAAAAAAAGAAGAAGCAAAAAACAAAACTAGTGTGTTAACTGTGCTACAAAGAGGAGTAGCTCAAATAATTTGATCTCTATTAAGCTGAAGTTTAAATGTTTTATTTAAATAACACAGTCATGTAATTGCAGTGTTTCAATATCTGTAAATACAAAAATGACAATGACCATACAATATTGGGCCAGTCAAGTCCACAATAGATACATCACAAGTAGAACAAGAACGGTGATGAAAAAATCAATTAAAAAAATTCCCATCGGGACGTGGTGGGAGAAGGATCAAATGTCTCCCATTTAGCTGCGACAACAACAGGTTTTATTAGTGGATTTGATATCTTTAGCACGTCTAGTGTTTCAACACACCATTGCACCCTCTTACTCTCTGTATAAATTGAACATACTATTGTCAAGAGTATAACATTCTTTCTTTCTTTTTTCATGATAGAAAACTTCTTTCCCCTTTCATTTTAAGTTTTTTTTTCTAATAATAAAAATTCAAAAATGTGTTTATTTATTGAAAACAAAAGTTCAAAAGGTATTAATAAATTCTCATGTTTGAAATTATTTTGAGTGTCGAGAATTGAATTTCAAGTAGAATTCAAGCTTTAAAAATTGTAATAAAATAAATAAGATGTAAGCCCATCTAATTTACTACACTAAAAAAGAAAAATTATTGTTAAAACTAATTTATTTAAAATATTGATCTACCTATCTTTTTTTTATGAGTTTCTACCTTTTTATCAAGTACATATTCACCGCCATTAAAACCTCAACTACATCATAGCCAAAACAGTATTTTCTTATCTTCTTATCCCATCATAAGTCATATTATTTATCCTCAATTTTATAGTTTGTGTAGCGTTGAGAAAAAAAGACCTTAAGAAAAAGTTTTTGAATTTGATTTTTTTTTGGTTATTTGTGGTGATGGATGAAGGAGAATTTGAATAAAGTGAAGGTGATAAGAGTAATATAGAAAACCAAAATGAATTGAATTTAGTTATAGAAAATTTCTTTCAAACATATAAATTCAACTTATTTATCAATTGAATTCAAATTAAACATTATAATTGAATTAATTACAATACAAAATTAACTCAAAACAACTTGTTAAAATGCCATAATCACTTGAACTAGAAGCATATTGACTAAAATAATTAAATTAGAAAGAGAAAGCAAAGAAATTAACACTAACCCTTTCATAATGTAAAAGCCAAGAGCATGAAAGATACCTGTAAATATTTTTGAGTAGAAACATTTTCTTCTGCAGAAATGTTATCAAGCTTAATTGCTTGTCTCATTAACATCTCAATTAATGTCGTGATTTGAATTTCTGGTACCTTAACTCCATTTAATATAGATTTTTCAATCGCAAAAACCTACACATAAGAAAAATATAATTAGGAATTACTTAAATATTGTAAGACATACATAAACAAACTTCTCAATAAGTGTCTTATAAAATTAAGCAAATCATCCTAGTTTTATGTTGCTTTTTATGTTCAAAATAAAGTATAAATTGAATGAGGAGCAATTTCTACTATAAATCACTCAAAAAGGTTCTTAAATAGATAAATTAGCTTATACCCAATAAAATATACCTAATTAAAAGGCTACATTGTGCATTCGTATTTTCAAATTTTGACATGAAATTAAGTTTTTGGCAAGTTCAAATTGATGAGAAAAATCATTAAAAAATAGTTTTTATAGTCTCTTTAAGACATTATGAATGAAACGCAACATCATTCGGACTAAAAAATACCTTTCTAAAATTTAAAAAAAAATCATGAATGATATATATTCAATCCATATTCAAAATTCACAATTGTACATATATATGATGCCCTTCTATTTTCAAAATCAATCACAAAAGATTTTAACCATCCACAAAAGTTTCTCAATATTATCAAATAAAATGGACTTGTTGTTTCAACCTAAAAAATCAACTTATGTCAAATAAATATAAGATTTTTAGGATAAAACATTTATCAAGGATCAATAACTACAAGTAGCAAAGCAATAGAATTTTCCGATAAATTCCCTATAAAAATCAAAGATAAAACTCAACTTTAAAGCTTTTTGGGATACCTCAATTATGTTTCAGATTCTTTCCCAATTCTTAGAACTATATGTCAACCCATACAAAAGACTCCAAAAAGTCCTTTCCTAAAATTTTTAAATGATTGAAATTGTCAAAACTCTAAAAAATCATGTTAGAAATCTTCTTTATTTAGGAATTCTTGATCAAGGAGCTTCTCTCATTATTGAAATCGATGCCTCTAATATTGAGACTTGGGCACTTTTTTTTTCTACAATCTTATAAAGCTTCATAGCAACACTCATCTCTATCAACTACATTTTAAAAAGGAAAATTTACATTCTCACTTTCAAAAATAGAATTCAAGTTGACCTAGCATTATCAAGTTCAAAATCAGAATACAAAAAGAAGCTCCAGGAATTTCTTTCCCAAATATCAAGTTCCAACAAATAAGAATTCATTCATGAAGATCCATATTATGACCTAAATATTATGAGTCGACTCTATAATATATATATATTACATCTTCATCCATTTACCAGCTAAAAAGACCAACAATGTCATCTCTGACATTATCAATCTCAAAACATCACCAGTGACATCATTATCCACTAAAATGCACCTGCATATACATATCAAGAGTAATGTCTCAACAAGGCATCTTTTGCATCATCCCTAAAGTTATTTTCTTCCAGATTTGATTATACATAGATATATCTTGTAATGCCAAAGCATAGTAAATCCCAACTGAGTATTATCTTTATTATGCCCACTTCGCTTATATTGTAATATTTTTCATAAATAAAAGTTTATATTTTATAAGCTTAATTTTTATTCCTTAATTTTAAGAGAAACTCTCTTAATTTCAGGGTCTTCAATTTTATCAATGATATCTAATATTACGTATTTTTATTGAGTTATTACATTAATTTGTTTATAGGAGCATGTGTACACTGTTAGGCTATAGTTAATTGCTTCAATATTTTCTTATTCACTATTAGATTCAGTTGGGTTTCATTATTTTGGATGATTATAAATTTATCATTATATTATTCTTTTATATCAGTTTGTGTTTCAAGGTTATAAAGGTTGAGGAGCTGAATTTTTATTTTATCTCTAATTCTTAAATATTTTTTTCCATTTTCCATTTATGTTTATAATGTCCTACTTGACCACACTTATAAAAAGTTGGTTGTTTTGAAGTTGTGGTTTTTTATTTTTTTTATTTTTTTATATGGCTTATTTGATCATATTTTCTTGTTTAGAGGTTTTTTACAACGTATTACTTTTAATTTTTGCTTCCTAATATATTTTATGTTTTCTCGAGGGAGGAATAAGGGTTTCATAACCATATTCAGAATAAAATGAACCTAACTCTTTTATACTTTCATGAAGTACAAATTTAAAAGTCCAGATTAAAATATTTCTTTCCTGCCAATGTTTTATAATGAAAACATCTGAAAGAAACATCTCCTCATACCATCTAAAATTTTAAAATTTAAGACATTTAAATTCAAAAGGATTTTAGATGAGCTTTCTTAAAATTATTATTGGTTACCAATAAATGTTTGGTAATGGAAAATATTAAGATTGAGATTGCATTTTCTATAATGACAGGTGTTAAGGTATTTTTATTTCTTACTTTGACATCACTTAATATAAGTCTTTTATCATTTTAGGTGAGATAATGATCCCACCATCATTTCAGTTGGCTAGTAAATCTTGAGACTAACACTTGATCTATATTTTGTCTATTTGATTTTTAAATTTGTATGTTGTGGTAGTTATGGTCATGATTTGAAGTTTATTTGTGATATTATGTTCGTTGTATCCATCTATGTTCCATTTATTTATGTTTTTACCATCATAATGAGCTTGAGTTTGACATGGCAGATATTCAATTTAGACATTAAAACGTATTGGTATGTTATAGTAATATTTGACCTTGGGATTTTTTTATATTGATTATGCTTGAGATTTCTAATCTTATTAATTACTAAATCTAATTGGAACTTCTCAGCAAGATCTTCAATCTCACTTTGAGTGTTTCCATCTTTGTTTATGATGGATATTTATTTTGATGAGTTTTTATTTATGATTTTGAAGGAATTTTTATATTTAATGCTTCGAGTTTTTAAGCGATCATTTCAATAAGATTATATAATAAGGTAGTTTAATAATTTGATATTTTAGTATTTGATGAGGCATGAAAAGTGGCTTTGAAATGGTAGAAGATGATAGTTAGGTAACTCCTCCCTCGATAAGGAAAAAGAGACTATAAAGACATTCATCTCTATATACTACTACTTTTTTTTTTTTTTATCTATGGTATGGAATTCAATTGGTATAGTTGTTTTGTGACCGAGTGGAATTCATAACTTTGTGTGAAATAGGAGTATTGACATCTGCAGTGGTTGGTTTGAAAGGGGTTGCTACAATTTCATTTTAATAAAAGTTTATCTTGATTTCTCTAAAATAAGGATGAACATGGTTAGTTTGATTATTAGTGGTTGCATGTCAGATTTGTTTAAAAATGGTTAAGAAGTGGCTTGAGCATTTATTTGTTTTTGTTGATATTTATATGTTTTTAAACATGTAAATAATAGGATACAAGTATTCATCCCATTGAGATTTTTATAACATCATATTTCAATTTGATTTCTTTGTTCTTGATTATAAGTTTTCAAGAATTAATTTCTTAATTTAATAATTTGCGGTGAATGGAAATCAATTCTTAATTTTTATTTATTAATTTGAAATTCTTTTTGAATGACACTTAATTGATTTATGTACTCATTATGTATTAGTGGCTTAGTTGAACAATATAATTTCTCTTAAATTTCAATAATATAAGAAAAACTTGTTTCACTAGTTTAATAATACGGTTTATGAATAGTTCTACTAAGATCCATTCCTTGAGAGTTTAAAGTTTTTGAATAGAAGGAATATTACTTATTAGTTTTCTAGAACTTCAATTTATAATCTTAAACGGATTGTGTTTAGCTGATTGAAAAATAATTTTGACATTTCCTAACTGATTTTCTATAATTTATACCAAATTATTTCTAGATGGTGATGATCTTGAAATACTGACTTGAGGTAATCTCTAATTATCAAGACACGTGATTTGATTCTACCATAAAAGTTTAGGAACCTGGATATTTGAATTTTGAGGATTAGTTTTGACAACGAGAGTTTTATTTTTGGGTGATTTTTTAAAAGCTTTGAAAGCTATGTTGGTAACTATAACTTTATAATATAATATATAGATTAAATCTATATTACTAGAATCTATAAGCATGTATGTTGAAGTCTTGATATTTAAATTTAAGAGTTTTGTTATATCTAGATTGAATAATGAAATAGTGAAACTAGGATAACAATTCAAGTATATTGGACCATTGATAAGATTTAACTAAAAGATTACAAGTAATGAATTCACAAAAATTGTAAATCTAGCATCTCTTAAATACTAAGTATGAGGGACTCTAATATAAGACGATGAGGTGATTTGACAATAATTAAAACTAGACCTATGTGGAAAACAATTATATCTTATTTTAAATTTATTTATCTGACTAGGTTGTATTTGATCAACAATTTGAACTTGAAGATTAATAGGTAAAGCTTGCTCAATAGTTTCTATTGAATAATTCATCCATAGTTCTTATTTGATATATGTTTTTCTTTGATTATTTAGTAGTGTTCCAATATTGAAGATGTTGTTCATTTAAGGAAATTTGATACTCTTTCTTGTTGAAATCTCGGATACTATCTTGATCAAACAAATCTAGATGCATTGAAAAAGTACCATTTAAAGATCTTGATCAAGAAGATAACCTAAATAATCTAGACATAAATGAAAAGATTACAAGGAAGAACAAAACTATAACAGCGATAGTAGAAAAATAAAATTCAAAGGTAAACTAATAACAAATACCAGAAAAAATAAATAATGATGATGTTTAGTAAAGAACACTACTCGAGAACAACAAAATACCTAACTTCAGAAAACATGATGTACCCATACTATGAAGTATACAGTGACATACCATTTTCATCGCAAACTTTTTAATTAAGTTTTAATACCTTTTATGTGCTGAATTATGTTTATAGAGTAGTAAAAGAAAATTTTATAATGCATGATAACAACCTATTAACTTTAAAATGGATTATATATATAAGAAAAGCTTATATTGTAGCGAAAACAGAAGGATTAATCAAATGAGTATAATTTAAGCTTAAACACTTACTTGCTCTACAAGTTTATCAACCTCCATGGACACGTTAGAAATGACCTGATATGCAGTTTGAATACGAGCATTTTTACGCATCTCAATGTATCTCCTCTTCAATGCTTGATGGATCCTCCATCAATATGAGTTTTGATCGATCTTTGACACCACATTTATCTAAGTACTCGCCATTTCCCTTCTCTTTTTCTTTGTAAATTATTTTTTGGTCACCTATTTGTAACCCTATCTTACCTGTCAAAACCTTCTTTACCTCTCCTGCATCCATTATCCAAAGTTAAGTTGACAATTAGTTTTACTGAGGTCAGATTTGATTACTATTTCAAGACATAAGAAATGAAGCTAATAGGGATATGTTTTATGTTCTTATTAAATATAAAAATTTATTTAAAAACTGTTTTAGATACATATTTATTTTATATCTTTGTTCTTATCTCTTTAACAAAACATGTTTATGTTTTTTTTTTGTATATGTTTATTCTAAGTGTAAACTTAATATGGACTTTAATGTTTGATACTAACATGTTTTGTATTTGTTATCTTGTTCACTCTTTAATACTTTGCTTGTTAAATGACTAATCTTGATTTATATTGTATAACACTTGGTACAACAAATGCTTGACACTTTCATAGCCCATAATGTATGGTATAACCGACACCTGAGCTATAAAAGGAACTTGATTTGTTGTAACATAAGTTATAATCATGAATGCTTGACGAGATTTACAAGTATTAGCACGTTTTTAACATAAGTTATAATCATGAATGCTTGATGAAATTTACAAGTATTAGCATTAATTGAATAAAATGACTAATGTAATCATGTTAACAACATATAATCTTATTGAAACCTCCTTTGTGTGTGGTTTCCAATTGAATAATAAGAGTTTATACTATACTTATTTGACATACCCTTAGTGGAACCTCTAACCTTGATATTTGTTATTATCATTGTTTAATCCTTACATTAATATTCTATCTCAAAGTTCTCATCATCATCTTCTTCTTCTCCTTCTTTTTCTTTATTATTATTATTATTATTATTATTATTATTATTGTTATTACTACTACTACTACTACTACTACTACTACTACTACTACTACTACTATTATTATTATTATTATTATTGCTACTATTATTATTGTTGTTTTTTTATAATTGTTGTTTGTAATTTGTACAATTAACCTCCGTGTGGTTCGACCCCGGTCTTGCCGGGTTATTTATTACTTTGACACTCCTGCACTTGGGAGAAGACATTAATCTTTTAGTCGTATCATTACCAATGAGAAAATGGTTGGTAAAACCTTGAAGCTCGTGTTGGGTACATTATTACTATTAATTATTGCTAGCACGCCTAGTAGTGTTTAGCTCCACATGTCTGCTCTAGCAGCCATTGCACTACTACCCTGCACTACGAGCAGTGACAGCTGGTAGCAAGAAGAGAAAAGGAAAGGGAGGAATTTATGATTCTACCCTTGGTGCTTTTTTTAGGGTTTGGGATTTAATTTATAGATTTATCCTTGGTGTAGTTTATTACTTATTACCAGTTGGCTTTTGGGATAGAATTACAATTTTGCCTCTCCTTATATAAAATGTTGATTTTATATTTTAATATCACTATAGGATTTAACAGTTTTATCGACAGAATTTTTCCGTCGGTGTAAGACACATATTCTATTAGTAATTAATTTACCAACGAAATCACTAACGAAAATGCTTTGTCGGTAAATTTTTCATTGGTAATTTTTTATTGTTAGTAAATCCGTTGGTAATAAAAAAAATATTCTTATCGATGGATTTACTAACATAACAGATGCGTCGATATTAATATTTTTTTATTACTGACGAATTTACCTATGGATATACCGATGGAAATTTCACTGGTAATTCCGTCGGTAATTATTTAAAAACATTTTAAAAAATTAATTTTAGAAAATAATGAAATTAACATAAATCAACACTCTATAATATATACTCAAAATGCTTGGAAAAAAGAATAAGAAAATCAACTTAAAAAAATTTGCAACAAAAAAAAAATAAATTCAACTAAAAAAATTTATATGAAAAAAATAAAGTTGTAATTTCTAAAAATTTAAAAATCCTATAAATAAATCAATTAAAAATTAGTCTCATATGAAAAAAAATCTCACAACAACATTTATACAATTATTAAGAACAAAAAGAATTAAAAATAAAATAAAAAAACAAATATAGTGAAAAAAATCATGAAAAAGGAAAAAAGAAAAATCTTACCTTAATGTACTTGCAAGTGAAGCTAAGGAGAGAAAAAAGTTTCGTAAAGCATATTAATTAAAAAAAAAAAGCTAAGAGGATAAAAGAAGAAAGAAGAAGAAGACATACCCGAGCATGGAGGAAAAGAGTAGGAGATGAGGAGAGAATAGAAGAGAAAGAAATAGATATTGATGTTTTTTACATATAATGAAGAAGAAGAAGAGGAAGTAGTGGAAGAAGAATAATAAAAAATAAATGTCTCTTGTAAAATAAAATGATTCAGTCTTTTTATTGGAGCACATTAGCGACGGATTTACTGATGAATAATTGAATATTAATATTTTTTAATTATTTCATCGGTAATATTTAATTTAAATTTTCAATTTCATAAAAAGTTTTTAGAAACTGCCAAAAAATTACAGATAATTGAATATTAATATTTCATAATATTAATATTTTTTTTATTGGGTACATCATTACTATTAATTAATTTGTTAGCTTGTAGCCATTACCAAAGAGAGAATGACTGTTAAAACCTTGAGGTCATTACCTCATTTTTGTGACCCACAGGTCACGACAATACTAGATGAAAGGAAGCTCGAGGATCTTGAGAGTTTTTACAAAAAAAAAAAATGAGGTTCTTATTTTTATTTGTTGGTCATTGGGTTAGGTTTGTCCATTCATAATAAATGAGCGTGTTCAAGTTTTTAAAATAGTTACTAAAAAAAGTAACAACTTCCTCTCGTTATATATTAAGAGATATAACTTATATGAAAAGGATAGTTTTTCATTGGTTGAATAATGGTTCTCTCTTTCTCTTCTTTTATTTTGAACTCTTTGTATTTCTTTGATAAAATTTATAAATATATTCATACTATGAAATATTATTTGATTTTAATAATTGAAATGAGACTAAAGTAATCGAATCGGGAATAAGAAAGGGAATTTTCAAAAGTAAGTTTTCTTTTCAAATTCACATTGGCATCAAAGCCATGATTTTAATTTTTTTATACAGTATATCTGTTACTGTATAAATGTTAGGTGTAAATTTTGTGTTAAAAAAATACTTCCATTAAGTCTTGGATTTTATTTATACTGCCACAAGGAGAGCTTAAACCTCAGACTTTTTGATAAATTAGAATAAGGTTTGTCTTGCTGCGCTAGCTACTAATAAAGCTTTCAAACCAAAATGAAAATTGTTCTAATTAAGTCCCCTGACAGATCAGTTGCTTTTGTTTTTGGTCATTAAATGTTTTTTTTATTAAAGGATTTAAAATTATAATTGTAAGATAAAGTGAAATTGGCTAAAAAAAATGAAAGCATGAAAGATCAAGTCAAAGATTTTAAAATAAAAAGGCTTTTTATTTTTAAAAATCAGAAGTTATCATGGAAAAAAAAAATGATAGCACAAATCTTGTAAAATTTTACATTGGAAATGACTTATCATGAGTTTTGAACACTAAGAACATCACGATAAAATAGGGTTATTGAGAGGACAAATCAATCACTTTAAGAAACTAGAAAAATTATGTTGGGTTTCTTGAAACTCATAAATATAGTGAAAATAATAATCATAAAATCTTTAGGAAGGCTAAGAATCTCGATAGATAGTTTAAGATTCATGCAAAGATTACTTCAAGATCATATCTTTTTTTAAGGTTACATTAACTCTTGAAGGTTGTTTTGTCTCAAACAACAAGTTGTTTAATTATTCAATCTCCGATAGTAACATACATGAACTATTAAATAAATTTTTTTCTAAAAGCCCTTTTAAAAAGAGTGATTGATATGCCTTTACTACTAGTTCTGCTTCTTCTTCTTCTTTTTTAATGTTTTGCGGTATATCTTTATCTGATCACATCAAATTTTCCATCATTATCTCATCCATACAACAAATATGAGGCATAACATTCTATTTATAGGGAAAATTTTATAACCATATTAATCACTTTGCCCTTAGAAAAACATCACATTTATTATTTCATGATAGTTTTAGAAATTTATGCAATCAAATATATACTTGATTTGTCTAGGTCTAGAATTATAATCCTTTGTAAAAATTACATTATAGTTCTTAATTTCTAAAATATATTTACAATCAAGTCTCACTTGATTAATCATCCCAACTTAATTTCTAATTCCCTAAAAATAGAGAAAAAGACAAGAAACGCAGGCCCTATTTAATATTACAACCATTCAACCATCAACAAAACATAATCATATTTTTCTTTTGATATCCATAATCTTCCATCATGTATAAAAACACATTGATATGCATAATTTAATATATAGCATGCTTCAATCCTAGCTATTAACTTTTTGTGTAATTTTAAAATAATATTTTTAACATTTAGAAATATTAAATCAAACTCAATTTGATAATTTCTCAAACTTTTATAAATTTTATTTAATTCATTTTCTTTAAAAAATTCATTTTAAAGATTTCATAAGAAAATTAATCATATTAAACTTTTGATGCAGAAAAGAAGGTAATACTTGTTATAATTGAGTTTAGTAACTATGCTATTATTTGTTGGGATCAAATTATTCTAGGTAGGAGAAGGAATGACGAGAGATCCATAGAGATTTGGGATGAGAGGAAAGCAATCACGAGAAACAAGTTTATTCCTAGACATTATTATAAAGAACTATTTCAAGCATTGTAGAGTTTGACTCAAAAGTGTAAGAGTGTGGACAATTACCACAAGGATATAGAGATTCCCATGATTAGAGCCAATATTGTGGACGATATATAGGTTACAATAGTAAGGTTTGAATAGAGAGATAATTAATGTGATTAAGTTGCAGCATTATATTGAGATGGAGGATATGGCTCACATGATCGACTAATGTAATATTTCAATAATTCAAAGACAAATCAATGGTAAATTATTTTTTTAGGCCATCATATTCTCAATGCTTCTTATAATAGCATTTCAAAGGTTAGTACATGGGTTCCATCCATTAGCATGGCACATTACTCATACGATTGTGTAAATTCAACTTCTCCATATAGAATGTACTCAATACACATACCACACAACATTATATTTACATATA